AAAAAAAAAAAAAAAAAGAAAGAAAAGATGTATTTTTAGGACATTATGTTCAGTTAAATAGGCCAGTCACAAAAAAACAAATACTGCACGATTTCACTTATATGAGGTATCTAAAGTAATCAAACTCAGAAACATAAAGAAGAATGGTGATTGCCAGGGACTAGGGGGAGGGGGAAATGGAAGGTGTTAAACAACAGATACAGTTTCAGTTTTGCAAGATGAAAAAGTTCTAGAGATCTGTTGTACAACAATATGCATATAGTTAATACTACTGTATTCTACACTTAAAAATTATTAAGATGGTAAATTTCATGTGTTTCTTACCATAATTTTTTTAAAGTCTTTTTTTGGGCACCAGAGGTAATATGAGACAGATGGCCAGGAGACCACCTACTGAGCCTAGCCTGAGGACAGGGGTGAGCAGGTCTGAATTTCTTTTTCTTTCGTTCTTTTTTTTTTTTTTTTGGAGACAGAGTCTCGCTCAGTCGCCCAGGCTGAAGTGCAGTGGCACAATCTCGGCTCACTGCAACCTCCCCCTCCAGGGTTCACACCATCCTCCTGCCTCAGCCTCCCGAGTAGCTGGGACTACAGGCGCCCGCCACTACGCCCGGCTAATTTTTCTGTATTTTTAGTAGAGACGGGGTTTCACCGTGTTAGCCGGGATGGTATCGATCTCCTGACCTCGTGTTCCGCCCGTCTCGGCCTCCCAAAGTGCTGGGATTACAGGCGCGAGCCACCGCGCTTGGCCTTTTTTTTTTTTTTTTGAGATAGAGTCTCGTTCTGTTGCTCAGGCTGGAGTGCAGTGGCGCCATCTCTGCTCATTGCAACCCACGCCTCCCGGGTTCAAGCGATTCTCCTGCCTCGCCTCCTAAGTAGCTGGGATTACAGGCCTGAGCCACCACGCCCGGCTATTTTTTTTGCATTTTAGTAGAGATGGGGTTTCACGGTTGTTAGCCAGGATGGTCTCGATCTCCTGACCTCGTGATCCACCCGCCTCAGCCTCCCAAAGTGCTGGGATTACAAGCGTGAGCCACCGTGCCCGGCCTTAATTTCAAAAGGTAATACAGCTAACCAGTCAACACTTCCTTCCCAATCCTTTCTCTTTGGGGTACAGGTGAGTATAAAATCTTACCAACTATCATAGATAAGAAACAAACCAAAGCAAAATATGTCTCTATGCTTTTTCTCTTGAGAGCGAAGGACATGGGTATCCTTTCTTAGAAGGCTTCTAGGACTTAAGCCAGTAAGAGAACTTGCGTCTCCTACGTCTCTGGAAGGCGTCTCTGGAAGGTGTCCTTTCTTCAATAGGCAGAACTAAAACAAAGTTCCCTTGACCAACGCGAAGCAAGCGAGGACAAGGTGGCCACCTGGGTGACTACATCCCCCAGCATGCACTGCTCCTTCTAGGTCGCAGCCAGTGACTGACGAAGTCGCATTACTTCTGAGATGGGAACGGGGTAGGGGAGCGCGACTACACATCCCAGGATGCAAAGCGCCCCAACTCTAGTCGCAACCTGGGTTGCTTTCTGGCTGGCGTTCCCCGCCAAAGGGACACTAGGGGAGGGGAATGTTTCGGTTGGGAATCCCCGAAGTCTGCTGGATCGTGACATTTCGAAAGAGGAAGGAAAGTGGAGGAAGGCTGTTTCACTGTAACTCAAAGTAGTTCCCGCGCAGGGTGGCGAGGAGTTATGGACCCCTTCCATAATTTATTGTTCCTCAAAGGCAATGCCAAGCCCCACTGGTTGCAGCCCTCGAGGGCAGGTGGGAAGTATGTGAAGCCCCAAATCGAAGTTACCAGCGTCTTCTTATTGGCCCTCGCCTCGAGCGCAGGCGCGAGGGCTCTGACTCTGGTCCCCTGGGCCTGGTGAGCGGCAATTGGCCAAAGTCCGCGAAGTAAGAGTCCGGATTGGTAGTTGCTAGCAGGAGCCTGGTTTCTTCCTCGACTTCTGCAAGTGATAGAGTGTGATTGGTTTAAATCCGCGGGCACCTGTCGGTGATTGGCTAGGAGCCACAGGCGGGGCGCGGCCATTGGCTGGCACTGGGGCCATCCCTCCTCGGGCGGGCAGCGAATGATGAAATGGGAACGGGGAGGCGAAAGGCCGCGACGTGAGCGCGCGACCTCCGGCGCCATTTTGTAGAGAAATAAGCGGAGTTAACCGAAGAGGGGGTCGAGGAGAGCCGGAGTCGGGGACCCAGGAGTTTCCTGTGTCCAGCGCTGCCGGAGCCGCCTGAGGTGAGGCGGGCTGGCGTCAGGGGCTACGGTAGGGTGGCGGTGACAGCTTGGGAACGCGAGTGCCGGTGGGAAGAGGAATAGGGGTGGACCTGGGGCCACTGGAAGCGTTTCCCGGAGCTCCAGGGAGTGAGAGGCAGCCGGGACGGGGAATTAGGACGAGGCGGGAGAGGGCGGACTCTTCTCCGCACGGCTCTCGGAGGCTTCGCGCTCTGAAAATTAGAGGCCAGCCAGAAGGCTCCAGGGAGCGGAGGGCAGAGCTCGGGGTGAGACCCGGGGTGGTCTCTGTCCTGGGCCTGGAGGCTCAGGGGGCGGCAGTGGCGGCAGTTCGTGTCGCTGGGCCTGGCTTCGCGCGGGTTGCACCCTCCTGAGACCTCCACGAGCTCCTCAACTACTCTGTCTGTCTCTGCTCCCGGATGGTTGCAGTGGGCATCGGCTCCCGAGGCCTAGCGCTTCGGGCGAGGGGCACCGTGTTTGGAGTTTTTTTACGTTTCCAGTTCTTCTCCGTGTACTCGGAGCTGCCACTCTCCCCCTCTGACGCCCCCAGCACGTTGTCAAAGCCCCCCAGGTTTCGGGTGTCCCCGGATGGGAAGGGCGGGCGGGAGCGAGCACTTCCTTATTACTTGCTACAGGTTTTGTTCCACTCGCGCGCCTGGGCGCTCACACTTTCTTTGAAGTCGGCCCCCACCTACTCGGTCCGGTGTCTGCAGTAGTGGCGGCCCTGCTCACCCAGGACAAGTGTCCCGCTAGTGAACTGAACACTTGTAGGCCTCGAGGCTGATGAGATCCACTGCAGATCTTGTAGAGGTACTTAAGGCCAAACACAAATAATACTTTTTCAGTACCACCTCCTCTGCAGAATTTACCCAAGAGGGCTCACCGATACTAACTCCACGAGGAGTAAGCTTTGTAGATTAAAAAAGAATGCTTGACATCTGTGTGTTTGAAAATGTTGTATTTAAAATAAACTTTATGACAAACTTTTCCCATGAAGTTACTTCAATCAAATGTCCCATTTCTTAGGACTCTAATCAATTAAGGTCTGTTTTCTTCCTGAAAACTGAGCAACAATGCTTAACCTACCCTGCCGATTTCTCTACAATTCGATCGCCTGTGACTACTTGGGTTTTTTTTTAAGTCGATAATTGAGTGAATATAATTATACTGTTTGAAAAAATGCCGAAAGTTTTCCTTATGACAGCCTCCTTGATAGGAATAGGGGATATATGTATTAAAACAAAGAGGGAGGGCAAGTAAAATATTAGGAAGAAGATGAAACAGATTAAGAACAATTTTTTTGTTTGGGTACGTGGGTTTAATACTTAAGTGGCCTGTGGTCCAGGTTGGCATTCCTACCCTTTTAGAGATTGGCAGCAGAGTATTTTAGCTATTAAGAAGACATGTGGTAACAGTTTAAATAATTATGTCTTAGGACACTGCAAATTGTTACCTTGTCTAAGGAGAACGTGCATTGATGATACATGGTTTTAGGTGACTAGCTGTGTTTTCAGTGAAATGGTAGCATGTTGATAAAACTAGTTTGGGGAGTTGATCCCTTTTCAACAAGTGTGAGTCCTCCAAGTCATAGTGGAAACAAGTCTAGAATCGACTGGGTGCGATGGTTCACGCCTGTAGTCCCAGTACTTATGGAGGCCGAGGTGAGTGAATCACCAGAGGTCAGGAGTTCGAGACCAGCCTGGCCAACATGGTGAAACCTCGTCTCTACTAGAAATACAAAAATTAGTCGGGTGTGGTGGCAGGTGCCTGTAATCCCAGCTACTTGGGAGACTGAGGCGGGAGAATCGCTTGAACCCGGGAGGTGGAGGTTGCAGTGAGCCGAGACAGAGCCACTGCACTCCAGCCTGGGGGACATGGAGACTTTGTCTCAAAAAAAAAAGAGTCTAGAATCAAGGCACAAAGGCATGTCTATTTGTAACTGAAAATATTTCCTTTTCTTACCTAAGATTGTAATCTTAGAAGTTTTAAGGTACAGTTTTGTGGCATTATGGTGGAAAAGAATTGAAATAACGTTCTTTTTGGTTCCCAGCTTACCACCCTGGGTTCATTTTCTTTTTTTCTGGTTTCTAAATTTCTCCTGGGGGTTTAGATCCTAGTCTCTTTAATATAAATGTTGTCAAGCTAAGTAATAAGACATCCTTATTTGGAGTCAAGTCATTAAAAAAAACTGTGAAAACAAATGGAAATGCTTGCCATCTTTTCAGAACATGCTTTAAAGTCTGATTTCAAATTATGTTGCATTTTACTTTTTCTGAGTATGTTTTTGGATAGATTCTGATCTGTTTATGATAAACTTTTTTTTTTTTTTTTTTTTT